CCAAAGCCCCACTGAAGCAAGTCTTGCCCCAAAAGGGTGTCTCCAGCACAGAAGTTCTCCCATTGCAGACACAGCTGATTCTCACTGCCAATTGGCCTGGAGGTCAATTCCTCCCAGTGATCCTACAACAACCAAGGCATAACTACAACAAGACTGTGCACAAAGCCCACAAGGGGGTGCACCAAGAGTGTCCACCTCAGGTAACTGGGGAGGCTGAGACACTGGGCCCTACAGGACACCGAGCACACAAAGCCACTCTATCAACACAGGGAAGCAGCCAAAATGCGGAGGCAAAGAAACAGGTCACAAATGGCAGAAATGGAGGAAAGCAAACGACTGGATATAGAGTTCAAGGCCACGTTTATAAGGTTTTTCAAGAATTTTATGGAAACCGCCGATAAATTTAATGAGTCCCTCAATAAGTATAGTGAGACCATGGAGGACATGAAAAAGGACCAACTAGAAATTAAGCATACACTGACTGAAATAAAGAATAATTTACAGAGATCCAACAGCAGACAAGAGGATCCCAAGAATCAAGTCAAAGATTTGAAATACAAAGAAACAAAAAATACCCAACCGAAAAAGAAAAAAGAAAAGAGATTCCAAAAATATGAAGATAGTGTAAGGACCCTCTGGGACAACTTCAAGCGTACCAACATCAGAATTATAGGGGTACCAGAAGAAGAGAGAGGGCAAGATATTGAAAACCTTTTTGAAGAAATAATGACAGAAAACTTCCCCTACCTGGTGAAAGAAATAGACTTACAAGTCCAGGAAGCGCAGAGAACCCCAAACAAAAGGAATCCAAAGAGGACCACACCAAGACACATCATAATTAAAATGCCAAGAGCAAAAGATAAAGAGAGAATCTTAAAAGCAGCAAGAGAAAGACAGTCAGTTACCTACAAGGGAGTACCCATACGACTGTCAGCTGATTTCTCAACAGAAACCATGCAGGCCAGAAGAGAGTGGCAAGAAATATTCAAAGTGATGAATAGCAAGAACCTGCAATCAAGATTACTTTATCCAGCAAAGCTATCATTCAGAATAGAAGGTCAGAGAAAGAGCTTCACGGATAAGAAAAAGCTAAAGGAGTTCATCACCACCAAACCAGCATTATATGAAATGCTGAAAGGTATTCTTTAAGAAGAGGAAGAAGAAAAAGGAACTCTTACCATTTGCCACAGCATGGATGGAACTGGAGAGCGGATAAATACCACATGATCTCACTCATTTGTGGAATATAATGAACAACATAAACTGATGAACAAGGACTGATCCAGAGACGGAGAGGCATTGATTGGACTGTCAGGCCTTGGAGGGAAGGTAGGGGAGGGTGGGGGTAAGGGGGAAAGATCAACCAAAGGACTTACATGCAAGCATATAGGCCTAACCAATGGACACGGACAACAGAGGGGTGAGGGCATGAGCGCGGGGGGGGGGGGGGGGTAGAGGGTAACGTGGGGACAAAGACACATATGTAATATCTTAATCAATAAAAAATATATAATAATAATTAAAAAAAGGAGTTGGAGTTTTTGAGTTGAACCCAGCGAGCCTCCCGCCTGTGACTCACAGGGCAAGGGACCCTCCTCTCCCACCGCTCACATGCCAGTGAGGCCCCCTCCCAGCTCCGCTCCAGGCCCAGGCTGCACCGCCTAATCCTAAGCACTGGCTCTACACACCCTCGGCAGCCTGTGCCTCCCCTCGGCAGGCAACCAGGGAGCTTTTCAGCCAAACCCTCGGAAGAAGACCCGTGAAGAGCTCACCATGTGGAACCCACTTGACAGTCCCCATAACTCATGCCTTGTTTGCTCTCACCGGTGCTAACTCTTATTGTATTGTGCGTATTCTAACTGCTCTGCGTATGTCATCTATCCAGAAAGAGAAAGTGGTTGTTTATTTTTTATCACAGTGCAGGGGGATTGTTAATGTTTTATTGAAAAGAGGGCACGGGTAACTCAGATATTGCAATTGGAGTGTACATGACTGCCTTGGGATTCCCCTGTCCCGGGGGGTGGGGGGATGGGGAATGTGCATGGCAGCATTGGCATTGGGTGGACAAGGAGGCGAGGGGTCATGGCTTGTGTTGCTCAGAAAACCTAGTTTTACCTGGATTGTGCGCTTATTTCGGGGTTGGGGGGGGGTGATCATGATTATATTGAGGCCAGCCCCCCTCCATTCCGTAAGTCCCCCCTGGCACAAATTCTGCTGGCTCTCAGTGACAATACTGTACCTTCCTGGTGAGTGTAGCAAAGACAACACTGTCTTCCCCGGGCTCTCCATGGAGCTGTCCGGGGTCCTGAAGTGCAGCCCACTTGGGGAACGCAGACCCCAGTGTCAAGATCCCAAGGTCCTGGCCTTCCCTCGTTCAGAGCTGGGGTGGTCTTTGCTTCAGCCTTACTGCAGTCGGTGTGTGAAAGAGCAGCGTCCTCCATGGGGAAAGGAGCACGGGGCCTCTGCCAGGGGGAGAGCACATTACATTTCCTTTGTTAAAATTCTGCCTTTATTCCAAAGGGCCGGTCTTTGTCCAGCAAGTTGCCATAAGTTTAAGGGTTTGGAGCATAGAGCTTGTGGCAAATATAGTTCCCCATAGGATCTGTTGTTGGGTTTTCCACAGACAGTTTTTCTTTACAAAGGAGACAATTGCAGCCAGGTTGGCTGTGTTAAACAAAACTGGCCAAAGGTCAAGAGACTTCCCCAGAGCTAGGCTCTGTCCAGCTAGGACTTTTTCTCCAGCCTATGCCCAGGGTTCTGGCCCTACCAGCCTCCGAGTGGGCCAAGCTCAGACACACCTGTGCAATCTGAACAGATTAAATGGGACAAGCCCCGCGGCCACCACCCTTCGGGCTGTGGGGACCGTGCAGGTGGGAGGTCACAGCTGTAGGGGCTGCAACCTCAATACACACGTTGTCGTCGAGTCCACCAGCTGACAGGTGGCTCCTCGGCCCCACTCTTGGCCAAGCCTGGCATGACTCATTTGCTCCAGAAAAGGAGCATAAATAAGCGCCATCGTACCTTGACAAGTTGACAGGGTTGACAAGCAGAGTAAATTCCTGTGTCTGAAGCTGACGAGGGGAGGTGATTTAGCAGAGCCAGCTGCCATCACCAGAAGAAAATAATTAAGGAAACGCGGCAGTGTAGAGGGAAACCGAGTGTGTGGCGGGTCCCTTCTGGAGAAGGGCTCTGTGATCATCGGCCGCAGGAGGAAGCAGCCTGTGCCAGAAACACTGAGCCCAGGAAGCTCATGCTGGGGATGGCTGCCTGAGGAGGGTGAAGGGGGCGGCGAAGGGAGGCAGGGTCGGGGCTGAGAAGGGGCCCCTGGCAAGGGGCTGAACTCTAAAGGCTCCTGTCTCACAGTCAGGCACTCCCTGATCATCCCCGCCCTCAGGGGTGCAACCACTTCTGCCTGGAGCTTCTCCTCAGCCTCACGGAAGAGTCCGGAAGGCCTGTTTCAGAGCTCACCCACCTCCACACACTTATGCACATAACCTGGGGAAGGCTCAGGAAGGCGGACACTCTGCCCTTTGCCCAGGGAAGGGCATACCCCTGTTCTGAGCCCAAAAGGACCAAAGGATAATACTGCATCGGAAGAAAGATGCAATGCGCCAAGTTCCGCCTTCATTCCCACCTCTCTTGGGACTTGAGAAAGGCCCCAGCAGGCTCAGGGACAGCAGGCTTTCAGTCCAGGGTGCCCTGGGGCACCCCCAATTGCTGATAAATGAAGGAGATATGTGGGCCCATCCTCAGCCTGACCAGTATGAGGCCATGGCCATTGCAGTGGCTGAACCTGTACAACAACCTCAGAGAAGTGAGTGGAGTTTGGGGGTCAGGGACAGAGGACCTGGACATCCTCTCACCAGCTGGGCTCCAGCCACTGGACCTCTGCCAAGTACTCAGAGATGGCAGGGGCAGTGCTGGGCCTCCGGAGCACCCACCCCAGGCAGCGCCAGGCTCAGCCCACTGTGTGAGGGGAGGTGGTTCTGATGGTGACTGCCTTCTGGCAAAGCCTCAGAGCAGAAAGAGCCCCTGAAGTGTCCCTGGCCAAGCAGGGCTGGGCCAAGGAAGCCCAGACTCCTAAGTAAGTTCCCCCGAAGGAATCATCTTGTCCTTCTGGGACATTCCCCAAAACAGACCAGGCCTGCTACGAGGCAGAATCGTCTCCTCTGGCCAAAGGCTCGCCTCCCAGTGCTTGTTGTCCTGGGTGAGCCCAGCCCCAGCCCAGGCAAAGGTGGGCAGAGCGGACACCTGGAGTGTGGCCAGTGATACGCTGACCTCTCTCCACCTCCCCGCAGTCACTGTGAGTGCTCGCTGGACACTGTGCCTGGGCTCTGCTCCGCCCTTTGGAGGAGAGCGGTGTGTGGTCAGCTCACCCCAGAGCCCCAGGGCCAGCTGCAAGGCCAATGTCGCAAAGTGGATGGCTCAGTTGGGAAACTTCCCAGAGGGAAGTGGGGAGACCCCAGTCCAAGGAGAATGAGTGTGTTCCAGTCCCAGGCCAGGTGTGTGCAAAGGTGTGGGTGCAGGTGTGTCGTATTCCAGGTATGGAGCGTCCACATGGACTACAGCCGGCAGAGCCAACAGGGCATAGAGCATGGACAGGCCTTTCTGAAGGTTCCTTTCCCCTCTGATTTAGTGACAGGGTGGGTGGGAAGTGGGCTGTGAGGTTTCTGGATGCTCCGCTGGGCAGGTGTGTGGCAGCCTGGGCAGGGCGCTTTTCCAGACCCTTCCAGGTCACGCTGGGAGGTAAGACGCCAAGAAGGGAGCATCAGCTGGCAGCCGGGGGACCAGGTCTTTCCTGCGCCCCCATTTCCATGCGGATGGGAGAGGGGGGCACTCACACCGTGGCGCGCCTCTCCTGCGTCCCCCCTGAACTGCCTTTTTATGGCGCCTACCCGAGTGCCCTCCCTTCGGGGCACCCACAGTCAAGAGCCCAGCAGGTCCCTGGGAACTACGTGGTTCTTCCAGCGCTAATACTGTGCTCTCTGTTCGCTTTTCAGGAGTAAAGTTCAACATCAGGCTACAGCAGCCGCGCGATGTGAGTTCTGATAAATCTCAGCAGGGCTGCCTGGGGAAGTTGGCGAGGGCAGGGGAGAAATTTGGAGCGCGCATTAAACCCGTTCTTGGAAAGAAAAATGTGTCCGGCCCTTCCCGGGCGCCCTGGGAACAAAGCCGGGCCCGGGGCCGTGAGTTTCCCTGTCCCATTGGATGGCAGCGTTGGAGTGTGCTAATTGACTCAGTAAATCTGAGCGGCTCCTCCAGCCACCGCTGCCAGCCCCGCCCGCCTCGCTCCGCCGCGTTCCTGGGAGGCCTGCGCCATCTGGTGGCCAAAATGACACGTGCACCTCGGGCCCTGGCCAGCTGACGGGAGGACCCCAGGGCTGGGGGGAGCTGGGGCCAGAGCGGTCACCTCCTGCAGGGCCAGCTGCCTCCCTCTCCCTCCTCTTAGACACTCCCCTGTCACCGAGCGGGCAGGGCCTGGGCGTGGCGAGGCCCGGCCTGTGTGACCCTCAGGGCCAGCTGTCCTGCCCACCCTGGTAACCCTTTCTCTTCTCGCTCCAGGACTTTCCGCCAGGCAGTTCCCAGGATGGTGTGTTTAAGGCGCCCACAGAGAGGGTCGCCCGAGACGTGTCCAGCCGGGCACCCAGAGGCCTCCGCCTACCGGGGCCTGACGCACCTCAAGGCCGCCCAAACCGGGGGGCCCGTCTGCGGCCCCAGCAGCGCCGCCGCCGGCTGCTGATCAAGAAAATGCCCGCGGCGGCGGCCATCCCGGCCAACAGCTCGGACGGCTCCGCGGCCCGGCCAGCACCGCGGGCCCCGGACGGCCGCTGGGTCAGCCTGCACCAGAGGCAGCGGGAGCGCAAGCGGGTGATGGGGGAGGCGTGCGCCAAGTACCGCGCCAGCAGCAGCCGCAGGGCGGTCACGCCCCGCCACGTGTCCCGCATCTTCGTGGAGGACCGCCACCGCGTGCTGTACTGCGAGGTCCCCAAAGCGGGCTGCTCCAACTGGAAGCGGGTGCTCATGGTGCTGGCCGGGCTGGCCTCGTCCACCGCCGACCTCCAGCACAACACCGTGCACTACGGCGGCGCCCTCAAGCGGCTGGACACCTTCGACCGCCAGGGCATCCTGCACCGCCTCAGCACCTACACCAAGATGCTCTTCGTCCGCGAGCCCTTCGAGAGGCTGGTCTCCGCCTTCCGCGACAAGTTCGAGCACCCCAACAGCTACTATCACCCTGTCTTCGGCAAGGCCATCCTGGCCCGGTACCGGGCCAACGCCTCTGGGGAAGCCCTGCGGACGGGCTCTGGCGTGCGCTTCCCCGAGTTCGTCCAGTACCTGCTGGACGTGCACCGGCCGGTGGGCATGGACATCCACTGGGACCACGTCAGCCGGCTCTGCAGCCCCTGCCTCATCGACTATGACTTTGTGGGCAAGTTTGAGAGCATGGAGGACGATGCCAACTTCTTCTTGAGCCTCATCCACGCCCCGCGCAACCTGACCTTCCCCCAGTTCAAGGACCGGCACTCGCAGGAGGCACGGACTACCGCGGGCATCACCCACCAGTACTTCTCGCAGCTCTCGGCCCCGCAGCGGCAGCGTGCCTACGACTTCTACTACATGGACTACCTGATGTTCAACTACTCCAAGCCCTTCGCTGACCTGTACTGAGGGCCTGGCGGCTGCCCGCGGGCACCCTGCCCACCACTCACCTGTCCGAGGGGCATGTTTCCTTAGCCAGGAGCCGAGATGTACCCAGAACAACTGGGCTCCGAGGACGTGAGGAGCTGTGGCTGCTGCAGGCCCTGGTGGGGACAGAGGCCCAGGCCTTGGGTGGGGACCCTGGCCCAAGCCTCAGAGCCACTTCCTTCCTTCTTGCCTGAGGAAGGTATGGAGGGGTGTGAGCTGGACACCCAGGAGTCCCAGCTGCCCACACCCAGCTCAGCCAGGAGTCAGGATGTCCAGGGAAGCCTGAGGCCCGGGAATGAGGGCCGGGCGGTAAGGGACCTCCTTCAGTCCCTTCGCCATTGCCTTGTACCCAACCACATGGTTTGCAGCTTTTCTGTGACCCAGGAGGAGGTTCCAAATAAAGCACATGGTTTCCAGAACACGTGTCTACACTCTGTCTTAGCATGGGAGCACCAGCCCTTTCCCGGGGCTGTCGGGGGCTCTTTCTCCCTCCCCAGAGCAGCCAGAGCCAGGCGCCCACAGGCCCGCTTGCACGGAAGTCCAGGGCAGGAGTAGCCAGTGTGTGTGACAGGAGCAGCTCACAGCAGCTTCCATTCCGGCCAGCTCCTCACACTCAGGCCTCCGAGGCCAGCACTTGGTTAACTGGGTCCTCCTGTCTCGGTACCAGCACCCTCGTCTGCAAAATGATAGACCTGTCCCCACGGAGGCCCACTGGGTCTCTTCTTGTCGGTGCTCTTTGTGGGGGCTCTGTGAGGACTGCCAGGGCAGTGATGAGCTCTTTGGGCAAGCTGCCATGTGGGGCTGCCACTGGGCTTGTTGCAGTGCCCGTGGGTTCCAGTGGGTGTGTCATTGCCGGGCAGGGAGTAATGCCATCCCTGGCTTTCCAAACCTCTGGGCTAAGGGGTTTGGACCAAAGCTGCCATCTTCAGACCTTGACCCTGGCCTTGATCCCTGGCTCCATTCACCTGACAAGACCACCTCAAAGTTGTCAGGATCGTCTTCCCCTGGTGAACCAGGTCTAGGGAAGGGGGAGGAGAGGCTATAGAGAAAACATACCCAAAAGCATACATTTTCACACAGGAATGGCTCTGAACTTGTCAAAAGCCAGGGAGCTTCCTGGAAGGTCTCGGAGAGAGTGTTTGTTGGAGCTTTGAGTGTGGGTGTGACTGTGGCTGCTTTGGGTCTTTTTGTAATGGGAAGTGCTGCCTGACTGTTTCTAGGCATCTGTGGGTCTGTCTGCCTACCTTTGGGTCTCATTTCTGTCTCTCAGGAGTATGCTGCTCGCCCTTCTTGGCCCCCTGTGGTCTCTGTGGATCTCTCCCAGGAGATTGCTCTCGATCTGTTCCCACTGGAGAGGGGAGGTGCTGCTGGACCCTAAGAAGGAGACCCTGAGGTCCCCACGGTGGGACACGCTGCTGGATCCCACCCTGCACTGCAAGGCTCACACTGGAGTGAGCTGCCCCATCTCCCTTTCTGCCTCCAACATGGGCTCTGGAAACTTACAAAGGCAGAACAAGGAGATGAGGCTGCCACCTGCCTGTTCAGGCCACATGTGTCCAAGAATCCTGAGCAGGGTGAGGCTTCCCCTCAGGTTGCAGCTGGAGTGGCCTGGGCCATCTGACAGAAGGAACCCAGAGTGCCAGGGAGGAAGCTGTGGTCATGGCCTGAGGGTGTGGGAGGCAGGAAGGTAGATGCTGAGAGCCAAAGAGGCTGACCCACCAGCACCTTGGCCAGGGCCAGAGCAGTGTAAGAAGAGGCGGGAGGGCTAACAATGGCCCAGAAGCAGCTGTCCCCAGGCTGTGTGCCCACAAAGTCAGACAGAATTCACGATGCAGAAACAGTGTCTCTGGTCACAGATGTATTGGCCACGCCTGAGGCAGTGTCACTGACCATCAGCTCAGCTTAGAGACAACCAGGATTGCCCTGAGACCATCCTCCACAGTGTGTGCATGTATGAGTGTGTGTGTGTGTGTGTGTGTGTGTGTTGGGTGGTAGGAAAAGACATCTTCACTTGTGTCATCTCTCAGAGACAGCCAGACCTGAGTTGGGCAGATATACACACACAACACATCCATCAAAGAGGGGGTTTTCCTCTTGGGTAATAACAGGTGACACAGTCCTGGCTCCCAGCATGACCGCCAGGCCCAGTCCTGAGACCTCACCCTGAATCCACTGAGGTGGTTTTGGACCCAACTCCAGCCCCTAACCCCAGCCTCAAGCCTTGTATAGCCCTAGGGCTTGGGAACAGTGGAGCTAACTGCCAATACAGGAAAGTGTGTGTGTGTGGGCTGAGAGAGTTGATGGGTGAGTATGTGAGTCTATATATATGTCTGTGTGTCTGTGAGTGTGTCTGTGTCTCCATGTATGTGTCTCTGTTTGTGCATCTGTATGTTTGTGTGGGTGTGTCTGTGAGGGTATGTGTGTGTGTGTCTGTGTAAGTGTCTGGGTGTGGGGTTCAGCATGTAAGTCTCTATGTGTATATATGTGTGTAGGGGGGTTAGGGTTAGGTGTGGTAAGTGTCTGTCTATGGGTATCTGTCTGGGGTGAGGGAGTGTGTATGTGTGTGAGCCTGTATAATATGTCAGGGTGGGGGGGACTTGGACAGTCCTCCCCCTCCTCTCTGTGACCATCGTGTGTTGCCCATCCCTGCCCTACTTCATCTGCTTCCCACTTTGTGGGTACAGTGTGGAGGGAGGGCTGTCTGGGTCAGGGTCCTAAGAAGGGCCCATAGGCTCCTCCCAGAGGTCAAGCAGCCCACCGTGCATGTAGGGAAAATAACCACTGAACCTCTAGTGCCCTTCCCCTGCCTCTCTGGGGCAGCCCACAGGGGAGTCCCTGCCAGGCCTTTGCCCTCAGAGCAGCTCAGACCTCCTCAGACACGAGCCTTGCTCTCTGAGTGATGAAGAGGACAGACTAGGGTCCTCCCGGAGCCTGTGAGCTCTAAGAGACCTGAAGTCTGGGGAGATGAGATTTGAGATCCGCCAGGTAGTCAGGTGTGACATTCAGGCGCCTTGGGCCTCCAAGACACAGCCAAACCCTCCTAACTCCCCACTGTGTGGGCTTGGCCTCCCCCACAGGGAGGGGCCCAGGACAGAGGTAGGCAGGCAGTGGATGGAAGGACAGTCCTTCAGCACCCCTCCCCTCCCATGTGCCAATTTCAACCTTGGAGTTGCACCCCCTTGCTGGGGGGTGGGGCACTGGAATCTCAGGAGAGGCCTGGGGCTGGCAGGCGATCTCCCCTCACTTCTCCCCCACCCCGCCCCCATCCTTAGCTTATCATCTCTGAGGAGCATCCGTGGCTCATCAAGGGACTTTCCTCCTGGTGTCTCCCCCCCACTCCACCAGTGCAGCAGGACCTGGAGCTGGGCACAGGGAGCTCAGTGCTGGCCCATGGGCACAGGAATGGACCAGGATGGTTCCCAGGAGCTGGGGGCAGGCTACTGGGGCTGAGCAGGGCTGAAATGATCTGTCCTCATCTCGGGGACCCTGTGTTGATGGGTACTATGACCTGGATTAGGAATAAATCAGCACCCTTAGGGAGCTGTGGGCTCACCCTAGTGTGGGGAGAGGAGGGAGTGAGTTGGCCATGGCTGCCCTCTCAGAGGAAGTGGCTCCATGGTCCACTCACCCTGCTGGAGGGGAGTGAGAGCCCTGAGCTGTGGTCCCTCTGGGTGGCCTGGCCTGGCCTAGTGCTGAGGCCGGCGTTGCTCCCAGACTCTTCACCCTGCCCTTTGCACAAGAGTCTCAGCTGGAATATCGTGGCCAGGAGCGGAGGGTGGCCAAGGGTCTGGTGGGGCTGGGGCCACCTAGGAGCACATGCTTCTGCCCCTCCCCTACTGCTGGGGGGGGGGGGGCCGGTAAGAGGGGGGACTCCAAAAGTTAAGCTGGGGGCTGCTCCCAAGAATACTTGAAGCCTAGGACAAGGGTCAGAGGTCAGAGGTCAGAAGTGAGTCGTTTCAAACCGAGTTGCCTAGGGTGTGCCAGCCTAAATCAAGTGCTCAGGACAGTGGGTACTGTGTTGGCCTCGCCCATGCACTCCATGGTAGGTAACCTCTCCCAGCAGCTCTGATTGTGCCTGCCTTGCCCCACTTCACAGGCGAGGGGGCAGGGGCACAGAGAGGCTTGTCCAGAGGTGCACAGGATGGCACCTGGAGCTGCGATCCACCCAGCAGCCGGGCTGTAACGCCCTCACTCCTGTGGCCGCCAGGGCCTCATCCCCTGGGCATCTGGGCGATCCAAGGGAGGGCGGGAGCGGAAGGAGGCCTCCGCCGGCAGAGACACGGATGGCCACCAGGGGGGGCTAAGACCTCGCTCCTGAGCAGCGGCCTGGGTATCCCCGGCCAGCCCACGAGGTGGCAGCAACACCCCGACTGTGGGCCAGTCGGCGACACACTGCCTGGAGACCCTCTCTCCCTCCCAGCCATGGGGTCACCCGCGCGGTGCCTCGTGCTCACAAACCTCACAGGGCCATCAGCAGCCTCCGGCGCTTGTTTGTCCTCCACTCTCCATGAGGGTGACAACAGGCCTTCTGTGACCTCAACCACAATACGCACACACTGGCACAGGCACAGACACAGACATGCCCCCACACAGGCACACAGCGGTGCACACATACCCCTCCTCACAAATACACATCCAGGCCCAGAGACACATCCACGGATACACAGATACAAACGTACGTGCAGATGCACGCACACACTCATGAGACACACACCCGCACACTCACACAGACATCCCCGGAAAGGGCACAGCTAGCCGTGCATTTCTGACTGCGGGGAAGTAAAGGGAGGACCGGGAAGCCCCTCGCTATGTCAAAGGCATGCTCCTCTGCACCGCCCGCCCGGGTCTCCTCGCTGCCCTTTCGGAGGCCAGCCCTCCGCTCCCTCTTGGGTCCCCAGCCCCTGTCTCCTCCTCAAGAGCATCATGGCGCACTGCTGGGCCATCAGACTTTCCCAGCGGGGCCCCATCTTCAGAAAAGAGAACGCGTTAGCCTCTTCCCCTCCATCGCTTGCTCCCTTCTTGCACATGTCATTCTCTGCCCCTCAGTGAATCCTTCTGTCCCTCCCCAGTGCCCACCTCTTTACCCAAGCCACGTCGTCTCCTGCCTAGGCTCCCAAAGCAATCATAGGAATATGGTATTTCCTGGCTTACCAGGTACTGTGCTAAGCATTTCATGTCTAGAAGTCCTCATCGCCGCCCTGTAAGACAGATGTAATTGTCATCCCATTCTGTGCACATGAGGAAACCGATACACGGGTGAAGTGATTTGCCCAAACTCACACAGCTTTTAAGAAGATGTTCTGCCTGAGCCAGTTTGGCTCAGTGGATAGAGCGTAAGCCTGTGGACTGGAGGGTCCCAGGTTTGATTCCAGTCAAGGGCACATACCAGGGTTGTGGGCTCGATCCCCA